GAGCTCCTTATATAAGTCGAAGCCAGCATTCGTTTGATGGTCACGTACGAAAAGGTGACGGCCAATATGGGGAGGCGGGCCAGCAAGCACACTCGCGTAGATGCAAGGTTTCCTGCACCTCTGAGCTCCTGGTCCATAGCTACGATGGAAGAAGCACTAGCCCCGGTGAGGTCATCCGGGACTTTGGGTGGTTTGCTCGGTGGTGGATTCTGGCGAGCATGGGCAGGCTGTGCTACCCTCGGATTAGCCCTATGGGGGTTCAAAAGGGGCACCAAAACTCTGTCCTTGACGGGCAGGCATTGGTGTATGCATTATGGTCGTGATTGCAGCCACATGTGAAGCCCAATCAGCATGCCAATCTCTATTCCGCTTAAACAGTTGCGATGTCTTGGCACCGAAAAAATATCCACAATACCGACATTTTGTCTGCAGTCGACGCAGCTTTGTCCAGTAACGCCATGACCGTCAGTTGGATCTGATGTGATAACGGCTCTAGCCACAGCCCGCTGACAATGTCAGAATGGGCATTTGCTGGTGCGACTAACGTGCCTAGACGAGTCAGGTGCCTACTTGGAGACGTATCATTAAGTTGGCGACGAACTAGCAACGGGCGCAAACGTTCCAAACAAACTCCAAGGGATATGTTTTTCATTCAACAAAATTTCCAACGAGTCACTGTGTATATATGCCTATCATTGATCTTTGTTTATTTGGGAACCGTACGTCTGTTCTTCACAGAACCAACCAAGGTAGAACCATCGTTATACGTTGGTTCTTCAATTTGCCAGTTTTTGTTTATGCATAGAGTGAATTACCGGTGCAGGTAAAGGTAGTATTAAGCAGTGCAAGGGTGACATGTTAGCAGATTGCTAATAATTGGAAAAAGTCTGTAAGTGCAGGCCTCTGAAATATCTGGGTCAAACCGGGTCCAGGGTGAATTTGCATGTAATGAACCTAAGTGACCGAGCCTTTGGTGTGCGTTCTACGTGCCATTTACGTGCTATTGAGCCAAAAAAGACCCAAACGTTTGTAAAGATACAGACAACGGTTTTTACCCCAAGCACTCGCGTATTTCATGCTTTCTACGTGGGTTTCCCAATACATTTTGCCAGCAGGAATGAAGCGAGGTATAACCAAAAGGTGCATTAAGCGAAAAGCCACAGGGTTTAGTCCTGGGTTATCTATTATTCTTGATTTTTGTTATTGACGCGGCCGGAGATTTTGCATCTCCAGTTTTCATCTTCTCAGACGACCTCACATTAGTAGAGAGGCC